ATACCAGGACTCAGAAATATCACGCATCCCTTCATAGGGCTACACTTTATCACTTCAGGAACAAAACAGCACTGTTGCTGTTGTTGCTATTTTGCTGTGCTTTGTTTTGTTTATTGAGACAAAGCCTCACTTGGGAGCCCAGGCAGGCCTGGGATTCATTATGTAGTTCATACTGACCTCAAATTCATAATGATTCTATCATCTCAGTTTCTCAAGTTATTGGGATTCCAGGCACAAACCAACAAATTCCACTTTATTATTATAATTACTTATACCTACTGTCATTCTACTCCATATACTATAAAATTACTTAAGACACACCATTTTATTTAGGTAAAATATATATAATACAAAATTTACCATATCAATTATTAAGCACACAGGTCAGCAGCATTATCAATCATGGCTATCAACAACCTCCAGAATCTTTTTATCTTTCTAAACTGAAAATTTCCACTTGTTTTTTTAAAAAAAGCTTTTATGCTCCTGGATCCCAGAGTCTGGCAACCATTTATTTCACTCTGTCTTTCTGGATTTCACTATAAAAGCAATATAACTTTGGACGCTAAAAGAAATAGAAGGATGATAAGGGAAGGAGAGAGCAAGGAAATACAGGCAATAAAAGCCACTTTGTTTAGTATATTCATTTGTGCTAGGAACAACAACTAACAGTAGATGTACTCTCTCCTTTAGATCCTGCTCCTTTTGAGGTTGGAACACGCAAAGGGCTGAGTGACTGCAGGGGTCAGAGCTTGAGAGGGTTGAAACTAGGCTGTAACTTGGTGCTTGTACAGCATGTGGGAGGTCCTAGTTTCAATCGTCAGTATGGAGAACTGTTAAGACTGGGGTTTAAACCTTGATTAAAGAAAACATCCCTTGGCTCTGACTTCTGGTCATTTTGGTCACCAGGTGTATGAGTCAGAGCTCAGTAGAAACACAAAAAACTAGAACAGCAATTTTTTTAAAAAAATTTTCTTTGCAATGGCATTTCTGAGACTTTGGTCTGGATGATGGGGCAGCCTAAACACAGGGTGCAGTTCTTTATCAGCCTTCTTCACCCTTGGTTTCCTGTAATCCACCAGGAGGGCCAGTTTTTAGAGCAGTTCTTCTCATGGCACAGACAGGTCTTCCCTGTCACTTTGTAGGCTATTCAGTCTCTGCACTGCATGTCTAAGAGTGAAAATGGAACAGGACTGAGGCAAACACGACTCCTCAGCAACTCCCCTGGGTAAAAATGATTGATGTGTGGGCCTACTCAGTTCCCAGGGTCAGATCTTATGATACAGTCATTCTATTAGAATCCTTTAGTAGTTCCATGAAGACCAAATTCTTCAACATGAAACCTTTCTTCCTCAGCAACTTTCCACATCCCTAAAGAATCTCTGGCTCCCTTTGTTCTACACTGTTCTTCCCCCATCTCTTGCTTTCATAGTCCACTTTGGCTGCCATCCCTTCAATAACTATGACCACATCCATTTACAGATCTCTACTATGAAAACACGTGCCCCAAGAGTCTTCTCTCAATAGACCCAACTTCACGTCACCTAGTACTGAGAATACCACCCACTAGGCTGTGATAGCATTCTTGACTTAGCAACTACAAGGGCCTACTTAAGGATAACAGACCAGCACTATTCCAGGCTTCAGCCCATTTCTGAAGAAAACCTTTTCTTTCTTTTTTTTCTTTTTTTAAAAAAATATTTATTTGTTTATTATATATAAAATATTCTGTCTGCATGTATGCCTGAAGGCCAGAAGAGGGCACCAGATCTCATTTCAGATGGTTGTGAGCCACCATGTTGTTGCTGGGAATTAAACTCAGGACCTTTGGAAGAGCAGGCAATGCTCTTAACCGCTGAGCCATCTCTCCAGGCCTGAAGAAAATATTTTCTTCCTACCTTCACACATGACAAGGTGAGACAGGCTTAGTTCCATAGTGTGATTTTAGCCCGAGAACAGCTAATCAGCCTATAAAGTGTCTGATTTGAGATGGGCCAATGAAGCCCCTTCTTGAAATTTTTTAGAATCAAAACCAGGAATGCTGGAGTGTTATCTTCCACTGAGTAGGTGGGGCAGGGGAGATAAAGCAGGACTACAAAGAGATCTGGGGAGGGGGCTGCTGACTTGGTGAGTAGTGGCAGATGTAGGTTCTGTGATATTGCTCAACCTTCAGAACAACCCTTGCCTATAGAGTGAGAGCTGTGATTTTACCATGTAGAAGCAACAGTCCAGACCACACCCGGATGATATTAAAAGCAGCTAGTGTCTATTATCTAGAAGACTGGCCAAGACAAGAGGAGACAAGAAGTCAACACTGGTGAAACAGAATAGTTCTGTTTCAGCTCTTGTGAGCTGTGTGATCTCAGATCATGTGGAGAAACTAATTAGGACTCAGTTTTTTCACCATAACATGGAAATGTGGACAAGATGTCAATGTGACAAGCAAAGACACCTACAGCTCCTAGCAGGCTGTGAGCATCCATCCAGGATGGCTGCTTTTGCCTTCATCCAGGATTGTATGGGCTAAGTGCTCTGTTAACACCTCATGGCCCTACTGTAATCAGAAAGGCTGTGTTTCACAAAGGAGCAAGGCACTAAGAACTAAAATTCCCTTTCTAAGGTCACTCAGCCAAGATGGCATTTCTAACATAAAATTCTCTAAGTATCTTTTCATTAACTTCCCCATACCATCTTCTGAAGCACTGGACACAGGCAGGCCCAGACCTGCTGGATGTACTGTACTTTGTTTGTCTGTTTTGTTTTTCGAAACAGGGTTTCTCTGTAGCTTTGGGGTCTGTCCTGGAACTAGCTTTTGTAGACCAGGCTGGCCTCAAACTCACAGAGATCTGCCTGCCTCTGCCTCCCAAACATGCTAGATAGGAGCTCTATCACCAAGCCACATTCACCGTCCACTTCCTATGCCTTTGTGCTTCTCCATGTCTATCTCTCCTTGCCATAACCACTGGAAGCCAAGAAATAGAAGGAAAAATCATACTATCTGCAGGGGACTGGCATGCTGAACTACTGGGAAGATTATTATGCCTTCCCCAACACTGGAGTCTTTTGTTTCTACCCTTGGGAAACCATAAAAGGAGACAACAGAATTTACAAAGTTAATGAAATTAGAGGAGGAAGAGGAAGGAGGGGATTTATCACAACTCCATTACCAACCCACATTGAAAGCAAACAGTAAACCACCTTACTTTGTCTGGCCCAGGCATCTTTACTAATGATTTTATTCAGATGTAAACTCTTAAGGTAAACAGCAATAGCAAATGTGGGCTGCCTTGTGCCACACTCCCAGTCCTAGCCTTTTCCAACAGAAGTAAGCTGCTGCTCTTAGGCAGGTAGAGCCATATGCTAAGTTCCTAGTCCCCCACATTCAACTATTTCATGAAAAGTCAACACAAAAAGAGCTCCATGACTCAATATCTATCTAAGGTTTCTATCCCCCTGGCTTCATAGACCAGCAGGCCAAACCATATAAAACTCACCAAGTAAACCCTGGTGCAGTTGATTCAGGCAGTGGAGAAAACAATTTGGCTATGAATGACTTCAACAAATGCCCGTCACTAAATTATCTAAGGACATATACTTTGGGTCCTGTTACAACCCATTGGGCTGGGGAAAACAAATGAAGCCAGTAAGCTGAGTATGGTACAGCAGCAGCTTAAGTGTAGGAGCAAATGGCATATTTGAAGCAGACACCTACAAGGAGAGTACTGTTCCTACACTTTGGATGTAGCTGGCATTTCTCCTAAGAAAACACTAACTCTCAAGAGGGTTACTGCTCCTAACCATCATTAAACAGCTCTGGTCAACTACTGAAATGATGAAGTATCAAGGCTGAGCCACCTCAAACACCTTGATTCAACTTAGTGAACCGTAAACCAAACAGGCTATAATTTGTGTGTGTCAGGTTTTCCCCTCCAATGAAAGGGTAGAAAAACTTGTCAAGAGTCATGGAGCTTCTCAAAAGGCAAATTAGGCTTCTGAGAGTCTCCAGGACCAAAGAACTGGCAAGTAGACAGGTAGAGCCACATGCTAAGCTTAGAGTGTCTGGCAAGAAATTCTTTAGGTTTGGTGACGGCTCCCTGCACAATGCCACCTCTTCTTTGGCCTGAATATCCAAAAGAGTCCGAGCCTCCAGGAACAGGTCTCAGTTGTCTTCCTAGAGGACACAGATCTGTAGCTCTGGGGCCCATAAAATGTCTAGGCGATAAGACTACTCTTAGGGACTATTTTTCCTCTAACAAAAAATCAAATTACTTTCACAAAACCCTTTTAACAAAACGATCTACTTTAAAACAATTATGATCAATCAGATTAAAAGTTTCTGATGGATGGATTTCCAAAATAAATTTATTTCTATCTTATACTGCAGTGAGAAGTTATAGTGGCACATTAGGCATTAAGCATTGCATGTCACCTAACCTCCTAGTCACCTGGGAGGTAAGTTCTAATGCAGGGCCATAATTGCTGTCTGCTGTTCTGAAACTAAGGAAGCTCTAAATCCCAAGGTTTTCCATAACGTACCTGGCAACAAAAATTAATGGACCTGAACTCATTTGAAGGCAAAGCAGCTGTGGGCTAACAGGAGGCTATTTAGATTATAGTTATATACTTAATGTGAATAACCATATGATTTGCCATACATATATGAATATGTGTGATTACTGAGTATGGCCCCAGGTCCCCAAGGTTACTTAAGAGACAATATATACACCTAATATTTTCCCAAACCTCCCAAATCTTAGGTTTAAACATCTGACCCTAAAGGTATAACATATAGTACTATGGGTTTCTAGTAATAATCCATTTCACAAACAAGAAGCTGAGACTCTCAGGAAAAGCAACTTGCCCAAGGCCACACAGAAGGCAGGGATACAGCGGGATTGCTGTGCCAGCATGACTCTTCTCCAGAACAGTTATTTGAAACTCAGAAAACTTAAGTGGAAAACACCACACAATAGCAGTGACACAGAAGGCCTGGTGCTTACCTTGCCCAGGACAGTGAGACATGGTTTGGGGTCCAATTCTGGCTGTTCGAGCTTCACCACTCCTACCCAGCCATATTCATACAAGTCCTCTTCATCATTGTTATTACACAGGCCCAGTGGGTGCATCTAAGAGACAAAATGAAAAGAAAATGTCAACAGGCTGGCCACAGACTGTCTTGACTCCTTTTGTGCATTTCTTATTGTGTACTAAGTCTAAGCTACCTCAAAACTTTAAACTTTAAGGCAGGGAATAGTCTTTCAATTCACAGGGAATTCCATTTCATTACGAGGAGCTGAGCACTGGAGAGAACAAAATAAAACAACTAGAAGACGATATTATAAGGGCTGGATAAATAACTTAACAGTTAAGAGCACTGACTGCTCTTTCAAAGGACCCAGGTTCAACTCCCAACATGCATATGGCGGTTCACAACTGTCCATGATTCTGGTTCCAAAGGATCTAATGCCCTCTTCTGGCCTCCATAAGCACTGGCCCTGCATATTCTATACAGATACACACAAACAAAATACCCATACTCATAAAAATTAAATAAAGATCTATCTGTATATACATGCACATTCATGTGCATGTACATGGAGGCCAGAGATTGATGTTAGATATCTTCTCAATCTCTCTCTACAGAGTCTTTAAGTAAACCTGGAGCTTTTCAATTGGCTAGAATGGCTGGCCAGGATGTCTCAGGGATCTTCCTGTCTCTGCCTATACAGTGCTGGAATTATAGGTGTATACCATCATGCTTGGTTTTCACACGGTAATAGGGATTGAATTCAAGACCTCATGTTTGCACAACAAGCACTTTACAGACTGAGCCATGTCTCCAGACCCTATAAATATATTTTATGACTTCTTTCTCTCTACCTTGAAAGTAATGATTGTCTAAGATAGAAGCCATCTGATAAGAGGTAGGAGAGAAAGAATCTCATATAAATGCCAATTTAAATTGCTATGAAATATTATAAATCTAACACAAAGCAATTATAAATGAAACTCACCAAGACAGTATCCTGTTTGGTTTCTAGATCTTACGGTCACATTAACTTATCCATGAGGGTCTAGAGACACATTCAGGATTTTATGATAAATGGAAATGTGGTAAACTATCAGTATAATTAGCAGGCTAGTTATAAAAGTCTGGAAACAACAGAAATTCCAAAGTCTATGCTCATAGTTCTAGCACTGACTATTATATCAGGCTATTCTGCAGTAATTTCTTCCCCGGTTCCTTAAGACCCAGGAAGCTCATTAAAACTCAGAAGTTCTAGGGCTGGAGATTTGGTTCAGTGGTTAGGTTACTTGGTGCTCCTGAAAAGGATCAGGATTTAGTTCTCAGCATCCACACAGCAGTACCCAATTATTCTCAACACCAGTTCCTGGGGATCAAGATCCTCTTCTGATCTCTGTGGACATGCACACAGTGCACAGACATACAAGCAAAATAAACATACATACACACAAAATAAAAACAAATCTTCAAAATAAAAGAAAGACTCCAAGGTTTTAAAGGTAAGATCATTAAGATTCAGGAAGCCAACGTTAACATCTCAGGAAGTCCATGAAATTAACCAGATGTACAAGGCAACTCCCTCTCCAAGCTTATGTAAGTCATAAAGGCTATCAAGCTGCCTGTAAGAATACCCTCTGACCTGGTGAGTTGCCTGGAAGTCAAGCAGTGTGCTCCAGGATTCCAACTTTTGGCAGTCATTATCCGTGCTGGGATGGTTTTGGTAATGCAGCTGTCTTTAAGTCATTCCTGCTCCAGTAAGTGGCCCCAATAAACTCAGTGGTTTGCCAACATGGACCTAAGTGGCATTTGTACTTTGGTCTGTCCCTGATTCCCTATCTGGGGTGAGCAGACATTTGTTTAAGACTCTCCAAGGAATAGAGCAACATACCACAGGCTCCAGAACCCAAGAGCAATCCAGAAAGAGAAAATTCTCATAGAAAATTTACCAAGTTATAAGCCTAGCATTATATGGGCTAAGTCCCCCTTTTAATATTTATTTTTTATTTACATGTGTACAAGTGGTTTGCTAGCATGTACATCTGTGCACCTGGTATGTGCTTAGTCTCCTCAGAGGTCATAAGAGGGAATCAGATCCCTTAGAACTGGAGTTACAGATAATTGTGAGCTATCTTGTGGGTACTGGGAGTTAAACTCAGGTCCTTTAGAAGAGCATCTAATGATCTTAACTGCTGATCCATCTCTCCAGTCTGAGATCTTAACTGCTGATCCATCTCTCCAGTGCTAAACTCTTAAATTGAAGAAATGTCTTTAGATTAGTATTAAGCACCTTGTAGGACCAGGAATAGTAGCACACACCTTTAATCCCAGCACTTGGGAAGTAGAGGTAGGTGGATCTCTGTGAGTTTGAGGCCAGTCTGGTCTACATAGTGAGTTCTAAGACTGCCAGGGCTCCATCTATTATAATGAGACCCTGCTTGGGAAACACAAAACAAACTTCTGGGTTCCACAATAGAATCCAGTATAGAAAATAAAACCCCAAAGACATCCATATTCTAACCTGAGACATATGAATTTACCTCACAAAGTAAAACACTCTGGCAGATGTGACTAAGCATGATGAAATGGAAGTTTCCTGGACTCTCTAGGTAGGTCAGTATAACAAGAACATTGTTATTCTAAGTCAATAGACCTGTAATAACTTGTAGCAGCAAATAGAAAGCTAATGCATATTATTTCTTACTTATTTATGGATGAAAACAAAAGCTCAAGGTAAATTTCCAAGATAACCTAGGCAAGCAAGTATACCCAGTCCAATGAATTCCATCTGGGACTCAGGATCTACATTTGTAAACTGAAATTCTACAGAAGGCCAGTTTCTTTTCTCTCTTTTCCTCTTCATGTATGTGAGTGTATGTGCACATGCACCCAACCAATGAATTCAAAAGTTGTATGCTCTTACCCATTCAGACATGCCAAGGCTGCAGGTTTTCCCTTTAAAATTTCCTTACCCCGAAGCCTCGGGGTTGGCTTCCCCCACCCGCTGCGTCAGTGTGTTGGATTATGGTCCAAGTTAGCTAACTTGTAATCAATAAGCCCCAGTGTGTTTGCATCGGACACTGGCTCTGTGGTGGCACAACACGCCAAAACAAATTTATTTATTTATTTATTTGTTTGTTTGTTCGTTTGCTCACTTTGTTTGTTTATTCATTCATTATAAGTCTGGAACAGTCTTGCTGAGTTTCCCAAGCTGGTCATGAACTTGTTATCCTTCTGCCTCATATTCTAAATATCTGAGATTGCAAGCATACACTACCATGTCCAGCTATTAAAATGGGGGGGGGTTAATAGCTGTTAAATCCACAATTTTTTACTCTGCTCCTACGACTACTTTGTGTTCAATCAATATAACCACACTGTTCCATGAAAAACATTTTGAGAGCACACTGGGAGGGAGAACATACACATACTGAGAGACTAAATTTGATACAAGACAAAGTTAAATGGCCTCAAATACTAAAGAATCAACCATGACTCAAGAGGAAAAGAACACACACACACACACACACACACACACACACACACACACACAGAGAGAGAGAGAGAGAGAGAGAGAGAGAGAGATCAGGGAGAGGAGGGTATAATAAGAATGGGAACGAAGAGCATCAGAAGCCAAGGTTGGAACGTAACAACTTGACTCACTACAGCCAACATAAAAATAGGAGCCTAACACTAAGGATAGTGTGACAAGAAAGAACATGTATCTACAAATATCAAGCATACCCAAAGGTCCCTAAGGTTCTGTCAGGCAAGCACTCTAGAAAATACTTCCAACTAGGCTGGCTGGATCTCCCCTCCTTTCACTCTTCTGTAAGACTCCTTATCAGAGTTTCTTGCTGACACTGGGGCAACTGTTGGCAGCTCAATATATCAGCCCTGTCAAGGTTGCCAACTATTAAATAGTATCAAAACCTTCAAAACCAAAACAAACTATTCTAAAGCACTATCAGTTGCCAAGGGCTGTTTACTTCTTTTTGGAATAAAGATGTTATAAAAAAAATTTATCACAGGATTGAAAATCCACCTCATAGCCAGTGAATTCAAAGCCAGCCTGGTCTACACAGTGAGACCCTACCTCCAAAAAACAGGAGGCAGGGGGATGACATCAAAGACCACCACCTACCTCACCATCCTTGCCACTTTCCCACCTTCATCTCAGCTCCTACTCTTATTTACTTCCCCAAATAGTTAACCCTGCAAATTCAATCTTAGCTAGTACAGTTAATCAATATAACTATCCATTTACTCATATCCTAGAGATAATATTGTAGAATTCAGGCTGCTGTCAGTTTGCTTCTGACAATAATATCAGCTTTCAGAAATGCCTGTTGTCCCACACCTACAACCATTTGCATCACAGGGTTCCATTTAATCCAAAAGGTCCAAGTTACAAGGTCAGGAAAATGTTTCTTTGGTAAGTAGAAATAGTCATACACTGAAAATATGCACTAGTAAGCTGACCTGATGCAAAAGATGTCATCCCCCTGCCTCCTGTTTTTTGTCAGCACTTACAAGCACCGACAGCTCATCCAAAGGTCCTGAGTTCAATTCCCAGCAATGACAAGGTTGCTCACAACCATCTACAGTGGGATCTGATGCCCTCTTCTGGTATGCAGGCATACATGCAGATAGAGCACTCATATATATAAAGTAAACAAATCTTAAAAAAAATAAGTCAGGTGGTGGTAGTGCAAGCCTTTAATCCCAGTACTTGGGAGGCAGAGGCAGGCGGATCTCTGTGAATTTGAGGCCAGCCTGGTCTACAGAGTGAGTTCCAGGACAGCCAAGGCTGTTACACAGAGAAACGCTGTCTCGAGAAATCAAAAAATAAAATATAAATAAATAAATAAATAAGCACAAGGATAAAACAAAGTCTGATCAGTCTTTAACTCTGATCCTGTGCTATAGGAAAAGTAACTTGGGATGTACAATATGGCATGAGTCAAAAAAGAAAGAACACTGCCTGTCTTTTATCAGGACTGTTACTATTGCCAAAGCCTTAAAGGGATACAACAGTTAAATGAAATGTGATGCAAACAAATAGCACAGTAGATGCTCAATAACTAAGTCCTCTCTTTTTCT